AACTTCCCCAAGGTGTCTCATGGATCCAATTCTGCTCTCTGATGATATACCAGCAGATAGCAATAAAACTTTTTTCCCTGACACCAGCTGAAAAGAATTTGCAAGAGTTCAGAAGATTACCTTTAGAAATCTAAAGATCTTAAGTATTGGGGGAAAAAACCCACAGTGTTTAATTACATGATGCATGATCAGGACCCTCAGATTTAAAATCTGGGAGAAAATTACTCCTAAAAGTGTTAGACCTGAGATTCAATACTCTGCCTGAGTTTCGGTCAAGATAAAGACTTGTGAAAGAGAGCAAACAAGCCCCCTTGAAACTCCTGGATTTACCTAGCTAAGAAAAGATGAAGGGATAATGTAAGTTCTAAATGATTGCTACAAATAGGATAGTGACCTGTTGTTCCCTATGTTCACTAAGTACAGGATAAGACCTTCTTCTTCCTATGTGTAGGAAAAGAAATTTGCATAAAAGATAAGGAAAGAAACAATCTTTCATTCTGTGATGCTAATTGGGGTATGGGAACAGCTATTTTAAGAGGCTGTGTAGTTGTCATAATTTTAAAGAAACAGGTTATACCAAAATATACAGGTTATTGCTGATTTATATTAGACCCTTCAAAGTGCAAAGCTGCACAGGTTGAGCTACTGAGCTGCTTCTCCTCTCTTCCCTGATAATATTCCTTGATTAATGTATCTGTTGATTACTTCTCCCAGATTTAGTCTCTGAATAAGAAATGGTTAAATAATTTGAAGACTAGAAATTACTACTACTACCCATCATTTTTTGTTTCATTCATTTCATTGCCTTCCTATATTTTGGGACATGGATACATGGCCTTAATGAACAGATCTGAGTATCTGATGAGGGAAGAAAAGATATAATGAGAGTTTGGTACAGAGCAAGTTAGACTCAGGTGTTTCTGTGTGTTTATCATCAGGCTAATGGCGTGAAAAGTTGGATGCAAACACCCAGCCATTATTCCATGAAACCTTTATTCCTGTAGATGCAGTCATGGCAAAAAAAGATAATATGGGTTCTACCAAAAGTTTAATTGAGAGATGTCATCTCTGAGTAATCATTAAATATTCAGGAAGTGTAAGACAATACTGAATTGCTTCCCACATCTGAAAAATGAACTGCATTTGGTGTAATACGTTGAAAGAGACCACAGAAGTGTTGCAGAGCAACTTGATTTTCCCAAGAATAGGTATTTCTATAGGTAACCATGAAAATAGAGATGGAATTTCTTTAAGCTTTCTTCCAAGTTTGCAGAAGATTTTGATTAACTTGGAGCAGCAGTAAGCTTATTTAAAGGTAAAGCCCAAACAGTATATATATTTGCCTGTTCATGGCTAGTTAAATTTAATTGCATTACATTGCCACAAAACAAATGCAACAGCCCAGAGTACTGTGCCCACTGTGTTTATCTTAAAGGAATCCATGAGTTTGAACTGAAAGTCTTGTAGAAAAGGAATGATGATTAATTTTCCAGGGCAATCGTTCTTTTGAAAAATTCTATGTATATGTTCATACCTCTCAAGGTATTTTATATTTATGTTCATACCTGTCAAGACTCTGCCAATAGTTCTGGAAGGGGTTTTCCTGTGAGTACTCCCATGTGCAATGCACAATAGTCCTGTTGCAGTCACTCCAGAGTGTAAGCAGAGGCCTGTTCTGTCCACAGCATCATTGTGTAGTTGTGATGACTTTGAGTGATTTTAAATAGTTATTTGTGTTAAATTTTCATGAAAATGTGGAGAGCTGGTAAGGAACTACATTTGTTATTAGTGAACAACCTTGCTTCACTGGGGCCCTGTGTGTCAGTCTCTATGTACTAAAGGAGTCTAGACCCCTCAATGTGTGATGTGACTGGTTGTGAATTGTTCTGGTTTGTCATATTTTCTGCATTATTCTAATCTTCTCGGTGTGAATAGAATTGCATCCCTTTTTGCTTGACAGCAAAGATAAACATCAAGCTGTCCAGAAGATAGAGTGCCATTTTATTCCTCTTCTGAAATTCTTGATGGGATGGGTACAACATCAGCAAACACTCAAGAAAAAACCTCCTGACCCTCTAATTATTCTTGCTGACATTTTTGTAATAATTTCCTTTTCAAGAAATACTGAGTCCTTCATGTCAGAACAAAAACAAAACCAAAAAAAACCCAAGAAGAACCTCAAACTTTATTTAATTGTTATTTGGTCAGCACTTGAATTCTACAGTAGTCCTAATTTAAATTAAATTAGTACTCAGAATGTTATCTTTCCCCCACTACAATTCTTAAAATTTAAGCAAAGCATATTATACTAGAATCATTATGTTAAAATGGCTGTTTATGATTGTTTTAAACCAAATGGTTTGAACCAGCTTTATTCCCAGTCTGGCATTAAATATCATGCACACTGTTGCTGTATAATTGTGGCTACACGTTTTAGAATGTTCCTTATGTGTATAGAATGGAGAAAAATCATATTACCATGTTATTCAACATGAAAAACTATTAAAGCCTGCAATTCAAATATGCCTTTTTGAGACTATTGAATTAACAGAGTTAGATTAAAATATAAATGAACTTGTTAAGTAATATTTTATTTTCAAAACCCATTTCCTCTTTATATTATTTATACAGTTGGCATGTTTGACCAAGAGAATTGATATATTGTCCTCAATAGGGTAAATATCCACTGTGATTACTCCTTTAATTGCCAGAGCCATCTTTCTCCTTTCAAATAAAGCAGTATTAGAGAGTAAGTCCATTATTGCTTCTCCAAGTATCGTGCTTTATCCATAAGAGGAGCCTGTCCTTCCTGTTTCTGTGTGAAATCTTAAAGCTTACATTCTGTGCCTACAGTAACTTTTTGCAAGCACAGTGTATTAAACCACCCTGTCCTTCCGTGCCTGCGCCCTCTTAGACAGGAGGCTGCCAGGTTTTACTGACACCTGCTAACACCAAGCTGTGCACAATGGATTCTTTGGAGTTCATGGCTGAGTATTCTGATAACAAGATAAAAATAATGCATGGTGTTAAAAACATCAGAGACTCAATTTAAACGGATGGAAAGGATAGTGTTTATTCACATTCCGAGGTGCAAAACTGCGTATGTTCACTACACACTTTGGGTGCTTAATAAGCTCAAGTCCCAATGAATTGGTTCTTGACAGTTATGAATGGTAGACTGGCTGCATTAAAGCAATGAGGGAGCTAACAGCAGGTTTGCAACTGGGTTTGAATAAATCATCAACCAAACATATAACGGCATTGTAACAGTAGGCCAAAACCTCTCCAGCCATGTGATTGCTAGTTGCCAGGAGACCATGAATCTTGGGCATTCTGAAAATATTGAAATTATTTTAGCTGTCTCAAATTTATAGAATCTCTGGAAAAATATAATACATTTAAATATATTAAAATATAACTACTTTGTCAGGGTACATGTAAAGCTTTTAGACAAAATATGACTTTTTAACTAAAGCATTTTTTTTGCATATTGATTTGCTTTCTTTTGTATGATTTATAATGTATTTAGAAAGAATATTTACAAAATGCGATGTAGTATTTAAAATCTTGGCTGAAGTAACTCCATACCTCTAAAGAACACATGCAAAATTATTTTTGGCCTCTTAGGTGTCCATCCAGCCATCCCTTTTTCTTACATGGGTAACTTTACACTTTAAAGGGGTACAGTGGAGGTCAAATGCACTGCTTTTGTGTTTAAATTTAATTGCATTAACAAGCCTTTAAAAGCTAAGATTTTATACTCTGTTTGCAATTACATTTCCTGCAAAACATTATGTCAGCAGTAGAAGCATTGCATCAAATCCAATCTTTTTTGTCTCCTTCTTCAGAAGGAATCTTGCCAGAGGTGTATTTGTGCTATCCACAGATATGTACAATGTACATGGCGTAGGCCTCATTTAACAGTGGGACTTTTAGGCTGTCTTCTAGTTTTGTGGATTGCATGTTGAATTTGATTGAATTTGATTACATAGATATTTAGTCTGATGTGGCAAAGAGGTGAGAGTCAGGATGACTCTTCATAGGCTGCTGATCATAGTTCAGCCATCTCTTGCAAAAGCAGAAATTAGTGCTCACCACCAGAACTTGCTGCACAACTTGGGATAGGTGTGGGAGACCTCAGAGACTGTTCAGAGCAGCTGAAAGATGGATTTTTCTCTTTTTCAGTTCTGCCATGAATTTTCTTTGTATGACTTTAGGCAAGTGCTTAGTTTTCCTGGGTATAGGGAAGACTTCCCTTTCTCACAAGAGTCAGGAGACAGAATTACTTGCTAATTGTAAGGCTGTTGTATTTTGTGATTATAAAGCCACAATTAGTTGTTAATTTACACTAAAAGAAATAACTGGGAAAAAATCTGATGATTTATGAAGTATAAATTCGTGGTGTATTTAAATTCTGCCTTAAATAGATGTAATGAATATACCAATGATACTCATTTCATAACCTGAAATATACAGACATACGAATTTATTTCAATACAATATATCTTTTCAAGAGTTCAATCAACTGAGTTTTTTGGGTTTTTTAATAAGAATTGCCTTTCTGTAAGACAGCAACATAATGAATTAGGCACTAGGCAAAGCTTGGGAGAGAGAAATGGAGTGAGTGAAAACTAAGGGCATGTGAAGAACAGTCACTATCCAGCAACAGCAGCAAAACAGTTTCAATTTTCTGGATTATTAATTCAAATTCACACGCACATGCCAGTTAAAATTAAAGGCCTTTTTTTACGGCTCTAGTTTAAATTAAAGATTATATTCTGCTCCACAAGTCTGAATTAAATAGCTTATTTTGCACACCAAGCTCTCATTTTAAAGCTAATAAAGAAAAGACATAGCATGTACGTGCAAGCTTAAGACAGGAAGGGACTAAATTACTACACCTGTTTCACTTGGGAGCTACTTTATTAGTGTTACAAAACTTGGCTTTCAATTTGGCAGTCAGAAGCACATTTAGAACAAGCATTTCTTTGTTTTGACAGAAAGGCTATGGTAAATGAATGACGTTTGAGCGAGGTGTGAAATGTGAAGGTACAAAATTAACTGGTAAGATAATTACTGTTCTAATTCTGCATAAACAAGCATTTTGAAAATCATTAATAGTTCAGGGAAATAATGTTAGTGATTAAATAAGGTGGTTTGCATCACTGAGCACAACTAAGCTGCTTTAATTACATTTGAAAGCAAGGGAAAGTAGCTAATTAAAATTAGCACAGGGTTCCTGAATGACCAGCATTGCATTGTTGCCCTAACCTGTTTAATTGCTTGTTTATTAATAATATGTCTTTATTTTCCCCTCTTCTGCATTTAGCAAAATTATTGAAGGAGCTAAATTGTGTAAAGAGAACCTATATATACTTATCAGAATATGCAATGCAGATGTAACCCAGGGAATTGCTTCCAAGGTAAGCCAACATAAGTCAAAAGTTGTAACTTTTCTTCATATTAATAATGTTTTCTTCCTGAGTCACATTCCTATGTCAATCACGTCCATGGACAAGAAAAATGGTCTTTGGCACAATTGCTGAATTGCAGCATTTTGTAGCTTTATTTGCTTTATTTTTAAAATTGCTTGAATCACTAGCTAAAATATAGGTAATAAATCTAAGAGTAATCAATAATAATTTATGGAAAACATGAGCAAAAAAAGTAATCTAAATTAGAGGAAAGCTTTGTATTGTCTCAGCCTTTTTTTAACACAACATTTACCAGCTGCAATAGGTAGGTCTGTTCTGAGAAAAGACAAAACTAAGTATCCCAAGGTTTCCAACATATTTATCCTTCAGTTAAGGAACATCTGTATTAGACATCTGGCTTTCTCTTCCTAGTCCCTCCTGTGTTGTTTTAAGTTCCACTTTATTAGCACAAACCTATAGGAAATATTTGGGAGAGGTGTTAATCTACACACTTGAAGCAAATATACAGTATAATACAATGAAGACAACTAAAAATAGAGTAAAATGCTAATTTATTTTTTCATATTTAGCCATAATCAAGTCAAGTTAAAGCAGACATGATGTTTTCCACGTTGATTTAGTATTTATAGTGTACCTCTGATGTGAAAGGCTCAGATGCATAATAATTTACATACATATACATTTTAAACAGTAAAAATTCATAAAAATGTGAAGTTCTATATGGAAAGGTAGCAGATCACCATGAAAGCAGGTTAAATCATGGGAATTATGCTTATGGAACTGATAAGCAATTAAAATAAGGAGTTAATTTTAACTTCATGAATAGTAGAGAATATTCAACAGACAGTACATACATTATTTTATAGGTGCATATTTTTATGAACAAAGAAGAGGGTTCTGCTCAGTATTATAGGATGGTAAAGAAAGATCCAAGTCAGATTTCAATGAGATTTTTCTGCTTCAAGTCTACACTAACTATATGATCAGCATTTTGAGTCATATCATATGGCACCAATAATGAGGTTGTAGAGACATAGTATTGGTGGATAGAGGTATAGTATCACCATTCAAGTGATTGTTGTGTTAAAGGGATACATGACAATTTTTTTAGTAGTCAATGTGGTGTGTAATTAATGGTGGCATTTCTTTGTGCTCTGGCAATGGATAAATATAATTTTGGCGTTCTTTTTTAATTGCGAAGTTCCGTGGCTTTCTGTTAGGTCATGGTCATCACAATTATGATTAAAACCTTTCATTAACCTTTCCATAACCTATTTCCTCAAATTAATAGCTGTAAAACTGTAAAAGCCACAACCCCCCACTATATAAAGAAGAGACTAGCAACATTTATCAGACTTATTCTCATAAGTGATGTAAATTATTCTTCTTCCTACTTATCATAATGTTATAACCACTTTTATTCATGTAGAGTTCTGGTAAAAGTGTTCTGATAGACTTAAGTTGCAACCCTTAAGGATTTTGCAGTCTCCAAAGGATCTGCTCTACCCCTCTTTTGTAAGCCCCTGCTCCGGAGCTGGGATAGATCGCCTCCCACCTGCCCAAGTCCACAGCAGTATTTTCAGACTCATAAGGAGTGTGGGCCTGCCTTCAGGTACAGGAGCCTATTGCACCACATCTCTGCTGCAGGGAGGTGAGCTCTCAAGGATGGCAGTGAGAACATGGGAAGCTTTGCTCCTACATGTACCAGAGCCTTACTGTAGTTCAGCAGTCCCCACCCAATACATGACTTACCCACCTGCTGCTAATGGGAACGCATTTTCTCCTCCTTGACACAAGGATCCTTTTTCTTAGCTTCAGAATATTGATATGACATGTAAATAATATTGCTAGTTGAAATTTTTAAGATGAGTGGTGAATGAAATTGTGGAAGATGTTTTCTATTTCCTATGTCTTTTTGCTAGTTTTAATATAACCTGAAGAAGTTCTCTGCTTTGGGGAGTTTGTGTTATTAAAGTATCTAAACAGGCCAAAATCCTTTAATTGTTTAACTCTGAAATGTCCTGGAATTGTAGTTGTAAATTCTCTTAATCCTATTTATAGAAATAATCCCACTCACTTGCTCAAGGCACACAGGAAACAGTAACTTGAACTAGGGTCCAGAACATCCACATCTAATGCTCTTACTGCTGGACAATATTGTGTTTCTTCCTCTGCAAGCCTGGGCTTCTTGATTTCCTTTTGTCCTCAGTGAGGACATGAGAGCATACTACAGCAAAAAGTGAGCCCTTTATAGGAAAATTTATTCCTCTGACCTGTGCTAGCACTAGAAATACATTGTGATTGAATTTTATTGCTATGGAGAAAATGCCAGTCCTAAAATGTGATGAGACCCTGCAGGAGATTTCAAGCAGTCAGATGTTTGCTTACAACCTAATAGAGGCATAGAAATAAATATTTGAAGCAAGAAGATGTTACTGACTGATTTAGTGACAGACTTCTGGTATTTAGTGAGGTAAGCAAAATACTTCCAGCATGTACTGGAAGCCTTGCATGGTACAACATGGCTGCTAGATGCTTGTAGCCTTCTATTTTGTGGAAACTGAGTTTTACAGGGGAACAGGGATTTGACTGTACTTTATGTATTTACAATGCCAACTTAAAATTAGAATGAAAAAAAAATAACTCCCGTATTTATAACCATAAACAATTAAGGATACTAATTTGTGTAGCATATACCTTTACTTAGCATTAATGAAGAACTTGATCATCTTGTAGGACATCCCAACAGGGGAGTCACAAGAATGTGGTCAAGAGCATTGGCAGTAACTGTGATCTGATTAACTGTGGCATTTCACTGTGTTATGGCAGTAATGTTAAAGCAATGTGTTGAGGGGGTTTAATTGTTAAAACTGACATTCTCTTGCCCCTTTCCTTCATCATGGTCACTGCAATCATGACTAAAACCTGTCATTAACCTTCCTCAATTTAATTCAATGTTTTGAGTTAATAGCACTGAAACAAGAGACATACAAAATGTGTGTGCCATTTTACACAGTGAAGTGTCTCACCTTCCTGCTCTCTGTAGCTGGAGAAAAAGGTACAATACTTACTGGGTTGTTGAAAGCACGTTTTAAAGGCATGATTTTTAGCACTCTGAAGGGGCAGGCTTGCAGTATAAGTCACGGGGTCTTGCCCCTTTTACAACACAGATAAGAACTGACAAACTGAGTTTTGTGCTGATGAAGGGTGTTAAACTGGCGAAACATATGCTGCATATACTAAAGGTAGGTGAGAGATGAAAAAAAAATTAATTGCAGCACACAACATCATAAAGAGGTGGAAAATCCAGTTCTGATGGAAGCAGGTAACAGTATCATCCTAACAGCAACAAATGACACAAAACACCTTACAAAGGCGGGCTCTCTGCAGCCAGCGACCAGCAGACAGGCAGAAATTTGGAAAGAGATTAGGAAATCCTGAATAGCAGTTTTTATAGTAAGTAGAGGTCAAATAAACAAACATGCTTCTTGTATCAACCAGTTTAGACTGGTCAAACATCAGCAGAGTTAGTGGCATCTCATGTGGTCTTTATTGCTCCTTGTGGTAAAAACCTTTCTAGGTCATACAGCTGATAATCTGAGTACACTTGTCAGCAAAGTGTGAGCATAAATAATCTACCCCTGCCTGAATTTTGCCAATATTCTTAACACCTCTAATCCAGACTTCAGGTCTTTGCAAAGAAGCAGTGATGATTATGTAGCAGATGATTCATCACCAGATAGCAAGGGAGGTGATTGAACTTCTCTACTCTGCACTGCTACATCCTCACCTCGAGTTCTGGGGGCAGTTTTGAGCATCATGATATAAGAAGACAATAAAGCTATTAGAGAGGGTCCAAAGGAGGGCAACAGAGATGGTGAAGGGCCTTGAGGGGAAGCTGTGTGAGGAGCTGAGGTAACTGGGTCTGTTCCATCTGGAGGAGACTGAGGGCAGAGCTCACTGCAGTCACAACTTCCTCGGGAGGGGAAGAGGAGCGGCAGGCACTGACCAGTGACAGAACTCAAGGAAGCAGCATGAAGTTGTGTTAGGGGAGGTTTAGGTTGGATATTAGAAAAAGGTTCTTCTCACAGAGGGTGGTGGGGCACTTGAACAGCTCCCCAGGTCAGTGGCCACAGCACCAGCCTGGCAGAGTTCAACAAGCCTTTGGACAAAGCTCTCAGGTGCATGGTGGAGTTCTTGGGGCAGCCCTGTGCAGAGCCTGTTGGACTTTGATGATCCTTGTGGGTTCCTTCCAGCTCATGATAATCTATGACTGTCATTCTCTTTGTTTCCAGAAAATGGGAAGCAAAAATCCAGAGTTTTATATTTTTTTAGTCTTTAGTAGTTTTGCAATATATTGCAGGCTAAAAGTGCAATAATAGATGATATATGATATATTCTGAAACAATGCTGCAACTATATTTCAAATAAATATAATCTACTTCTGATCTGGAGGAAAAACCCACATAAATAAAATAGCTCAGTACAATCCCATTTAAGTATGGTGAAGGTGACTGAAAGACAAGAATCTGTAAGTCTTTTGGACATGGCAGCTAATTAATATAAAGCATATGGTTATATAAAACATCAGGAGTGGATTGTGTAAGAATGCCCAGGTTAAAACAACCCTTTTTAACAGCCAGCTGTTAAACAGCCAGCAGCCTATAGCTGCCTCTCCTTCTCACAGATACAGACAGAGCCATATCAAGCTGGGATTTCAGAACTGCAGAAATAAGAGGTAATATTGGGCACCCAGTACTAGAAGGAACTAGAAAGAACAACATGTATTCTAGGTAAGGCAAGTGAGTATGAATCACTTGTGGAATTCTGTTCCTTAGTTTGGCAACCAAGTCAATACTCAGGTCTTCCCAAGCTGAGACCTAATGACATAATAAAAAAATCTCATCCTCTGACTCATGATCCTAATTTGTTCCATTTGTAAACTGAGCAAAATACGCTCAGGGTGAAAAAAAGTTATATCCTCATTT